TCTCCTCTTTTGTCTTCTCGCCCCCACACACCTTCCAGCACACATGGATGCCTCCCGCGCACGTAGACCGGCATCGTCCCCGTGGCGTGACAGCCAGGTTGGGGCTGTTTCCTCGCGCTGTTTCTGGAATCCCTGGTGCTGGATCCAGAGGCAGCGAGCGGCATCTTTCTGCTGCTTTTCGGCAACACGGTCCGCGTTGCGGCGCGTCTGGGAAGCGCGGCTCCTCTGCGATTGGGAGCGCTTAGTTTGGTTGGTAATTGTCCGTGATGCATGCGGAATTAAAGTGGAGTGTAGGCACGCCGAAGGCAATCTTGTCATGCGCGAGCTTGGATTTTGCTCCCTTGAAACTTCATGTAACGAATGCATTTGCAACATGTGCTGTCGCGAAATTGTGCAATTTCGCTGCAACACATATGTGTGTCTCACCAATGATGACGCAATGTAAAAAGATTTTTTGCTTCGGTTACTTCGATTTATCATCAACAATCACCTATAGGCATCATGAGTTAATGGAATCATACATTGTATTTGTGTTTAACATTAGATTTCAATGAACTTATCACAGACTCTGCTTGCCCGGGCGAAATAGGAAGCTGAAGCCCACCTCATTGCCTTGTCCCGTGGAAAATGATGGTGATGTCCCGCCACTGATTTAATTGGTTTCTGTTCTTTTAATTTGATGAAACTCGATGGCGAGGGCGTTCCAAGCAAACACTTGGTGGGAGCGCCCTTTCCGTTTCCGTTTACAATTGGAGAACGCTTTGACCACCACCATCACCATCAACATCATCGTTATCACTATTTTTACATACTACGCAGCAACAAGGCAATGAGAACGCCTTGAATATCACCATGCTACAAGGATTGGCATCTTCCAAATTGAGGCAATTCTGCATTAGAGCTTCCGCATCTTAGAACAGCAGCGTGTCAACAAAGGCATCGATAATTCACACTTAGTCAAGAACACTAGGGAGTGGCGTGTCAGCAGAACTCAAATTGGCCAAAACCCGCGTACCCCCAACAATACCTCACCGCTTTCGAAACGGCAAGAAACGGGGACTAATTGACGGTGGGAATTCACACAAAATGGTGGATGTTTCCACGTCGCGCAATAAGCCTGGTGTGCATCTCCTTGTACCGACACTGGCAAGGAAGACACAATATGTAGTGCGCATCTGAGAGATCGTGCTCCAATATGTGCTGATTGTGCTTCTACTTTGTTGTTTTTCTTTGGCAACCGGAATATCGGTCATCCTGCTAACGGCTGGATGCTGAATATACGGTCCAATGTGAAACTAGGAAATTATGGATTCTAGACTACGTTATTGCAGTAGTTTTTCAATGGGCAACCCATGGAACTTTTTTGTCTGGCAAAATAGGGAGACGGTAACTACTTCGTTGCCTTGATTTGTAGCATTTATTTCATAATGATGATCATCTCATGCTGTGCCCTGTCTCAATTGCGTAGTTGACGTCTTCTGAAGCGAGTCTCTCAATGGAGAGCACAATGAAATTCTTGCTTCTTGCCACTGTAGTACTTTTCATGGCAGCAAACAGAACAACGGGAAAAGATGAAATGCAATTAAAGCCCAGCAGCTTCGTCGGCAGGGCCCCAGCGGATAATGTCCGGACAGTCATTCTCACCGATTGTTCGCTCTACTTTGGATTTCAAACTCTTGGTGCGGTGTATTCCCATAAGAAATCGGGGCAGAGCGGCCCCATAACGAGACTGATGAGCTGCGCCGAAGGGGAGCTGAAGCATATATCCCAGGAAGAACTAAACGTGGTGGACACGCACATAGCCCCATCTTTCACGACTCACCCCGTAACAGGAGACCACTATGCACCCTACAACAAGCCCCTGGCAATACTGGACTGGATTTCTGCATCCACACCCCAAGAAGAATGGCTGCTGATTCTAGACGGAGACATGCTTCTTCGCTACCCTTTCAGTCCGACAGAATTGGGTGCCGAAAAGGGAAGGCCACTGTCGGCGGGCTACGGCTACTTGAAAGGTGTGGCAAACAGGCTGGCTGAAAAACACATACCGGATGTGGAGCCAAGGAACGACACGGAAGCGGGCATTCGAGGGAGGAGGGCCGACCAGGTGGGGGGATTTTTTCTGATCCATCGAGAAGACCTGAAGGCGATTGTTCCCATGTGGCTGAACTTCACGCAGGAAGTTCGAGAAGACACGGAAGCCTGGGAGCTCTCCGGGGACAAGTACTCGACGTCTCCCGGATCAAAGCCCTGGATATCCGAGATGTATGGTTATGTGTTCGCGGCTGCAAAGGCCGGAGTTTGGCACAAGGTGGACAGAACCGCAATGCTGTATCCTGGAATGTTGAACCCAGCGGACATTCCGCGCCTGCTGCACTACGGCCTGATTCTGAAAGTGAAGGACTACAGCTATGACAAGCACTGGCACACAATGTTTGACGCCTTCCAGTGCCCAGATTGGGATGTGAAGCACGGAGCTGTGGAGTCAGGCTTATTCCCTCACCCACCTCATCCTCGTTCCTTACGCGGTCTTGGAGCAAGAGAGAGGTACAACGGGCTCCTGGCAATTGAGACAGTCAATACTCTGAACGAAGCGTTGTGCAGCCGCCATTTAAGGCAGTGCCAGCGATCTGAGAGACTTGTTGAGGAATGTTCAAAGGTAACTGAGCCCTGCGACCCCACCCCCTTATGCTGTATATCCTGCTCCCTCCAAATCATTGCAGGGCTTGGTTAACTTTGCTGCTCCCAACGAACGGCATCACGTTCGTTTTCGGAACAGGTTCTCTGACGAACATTGGACTGGTCCCGAAAGAATCCGGAATTTCGGACGAAACTGACGTTTTCCCCCAGCGCCCCATGTTCCTGTAATGCGCTCAGCCCAGGGATTTTGAAGAGACAGCAAACGTTTCTCAGCAGCTTGTATTGTCGCAGATTCTTCATTTGACGTTCTCATGCCGTTGTTTCTAGCTAGGTGTTTGAGGTGGCTTCGTCTCTGGAGGCCGAACTGCAGAGGATGCAGGCCGGAGGCAATCCCATTTGTTCCGACTACAGCGCCCAGTGCCAGGAGTGGGCATCAGGAGAGACGAGTGAATGCACAGAAAACCCGTCGTTCATGCATCTGGAGTGCCGCGCAAGCTGCGGCATGTGTTTGGACGTGTCGCTGTTTCCTCCACGTCGATTGCAGGCCCCGCGAGCGTTGTGGAAAAGCCACCAAACAGTGCCATTCCAAGAAAGCAATGGTGGGAACAATAAACACCGTTACATTCAGGGGACGATGGCGCGGGGAACGCCGCAGGATGCGAAGGATGGCATGAACAACTCCTATATGCAGCAACTGAACAGATTACCTGCGGTTGAAATGCCAAGGAGGCGCGCTGCCAGCCCCTACCTGGTTGCGAATTCACCTCGTTCAGGTGGAGACGAAACTCGCGCCTTGCAGCGTCGCTGTGCTAAGGTTGGCGGCCGCACTATGTCCGAGGTTAGGGACTGTATCACATTGGCGCGGACAGGAGTTAACACGGCGCAGGCTGGGATAAACCAGGATGTTCGTACACGGCTGCTGCGAGGGGATGTCGAGACTGCGCATCCCCAGCAGCAGAAGGATGAGAGTGTGAATGAGAACAAAGGCCTCCATGTCGAGGTTCACCGGATACCCAGGACACGTGGAAACAGAAGGTTCTGGCGTCTTGGATTTTTGGGCGTCCCGTTGTGGTTTGGCGTTCTTTGCATGTTCTTTGTGCTCTTGTCGCGAGGGATGAGAAGGAAAAGGATTGCAGTGAACGTGTGACAGCACCTAGGCAGGTGGAATCTGCGGCCAGGGCTTAGTGTGGGCAATAGTTGGGATCGCTGAAAGCCTTCTCTCTGCATTCGGCGTACACCAGGTAGTTCAGTACAACGTGCAAGGTACTACTTCACCGCAATAATGCTCAAGTGCCAACACCAACAGTTCCCATTTGCAGCACTATCCAGCCTGCAGGAGGCTTTGCTCAAGCACCACATTAGGAGGTGCACACCGCCTGAGGTTACAAAGGATTGAGGTTTCCATGCGGGACAATGATTCCTGGCGGCTCGCCTGCTTCATACTTTAACCACTGTTACCGGTTTCACGGAGCTGGTGGTAATTTCCAATGCAGCAGAAAGCTCGATTGCGGGTTCGAATGTACGTGTCGAACCTGGCAATGCAGTCTGGGGCCAGCACTCGTCAGGACACAGAGCTTTGCAAGTGGACTAGCATCAGGGAGTGTCTCCATTGCAGTTCAGGCTAAACAGGCATGATCGAAGTCAGCTATTGCATGTTCTGGAACGCCAATCAGCCAATGAGCCAGTCGCGCATCATTCACCTATATTTGGCATTAGTTCCAAAAGGGACATGGAGGACCATGCAGTTAATGCGACTATGCCACGGCACAATACGGGCAGCACTCCACGATTTGCGCCAGCCCAGAGACCCCAACAAACATTGGGTAGGCGCAACTGCACGGTTGGCGGGCAAATTATGCGAAGTATCCCAGGACAGGAGCCAAAATCAGTGCAATCCTTGCTCCTGTCCATGTCTGTACAATGCTGCTCACTAGCGAGTTTGGCTGATTGGTATCCAATCATAGGCTGTTGAGGATCCAATCATACTGTGGACGACATGCCAGGAAGGGCCAGGACAAGATTCCCGTCGCAAAGGCCACGACTCCACGCCTCAAGCAGATCATTTTCTCAACACGTTAAAACACCATGGGAACACAAAATGGAAATCATGAACACCCAGGAACAAACAACCAGGACACACCTCTCCACCCCTCCGAACAAAACGCCGGTGCCAGCTGGCCCCGCCAAAATGAATTCATCCGGGATGATCATATTCAGTCACGGTCACCAAGCGAATGACAACACACCTGCTGCGGGTCAAACAGCGAGCTTCCTGACGGTCCAACACCCGGCCACAAACCCAAGTCCCTCTGCCTTATCGCATGTCACCACAGGCTGGTCTCGTCCGAGGCCACCCACAATCAGACTTGTGGGATAGCTGTATGTCTGCGCCATGCCTCCAGGTCACGTTTCATTTCTGATGGATCTTTTGTGCTTTGTTCCCGCAGGTACTCCACCCAGTCAGGCGCCAACTGCCCCCGACCTTCCTCCACGTCACTTGGAGGTGGAGGGAAAGGAGCGTCAATGTCTGTTCTATACCGTTTGACAGCTTTCAGCCGCTCCACCACGTCAACGCTGTTCACTTCGCTCTTGAGCTGCAGCACATGGGTGACACAAAAGAACTCAAGCCACCAAAAGACAGCACACCGCACCCACAAATACCGTGCATTCAATCATCACACCTGTGATATGCACACATGCGGTGCACAATTGTGACATATTATCAATACATGACATGGCAACGCTGACTGGCAGCCCATCCTTGTCGCTGGCCATATGTCGGCCATCTAAACTTTGGTCCACATTAAACCGCAGCTGCAGAAAATCGTGCATTGGCAACGAAATATGTCGATGCAGCGGCAAATTGCGCAATCCCAACCATGTCTATTGAGGCCATCTCTCGTAAGTCTGCATGGACAACCAATTGCATGCAGCACGCACGGCGCTGGACACGACAGAGGCTTCGTTAGCTGGATAGTATAAATGCAGAATTTCAATTAACGGCGAATTTGTTACCTGTTCAACACGAGCTTCTGCTATATCTGGACACAGCAGATCCAGCACGTCCATGTTGCCAATCACAACGTCAGCGATGTCCTGTGCATCACCGAACGACACTTCGAAAGGCATGCTGCTACCATTGAGGGACACTGGGCGCTCAAACCAGACCTGCAATCAGAACACACACGCCAGGAGTAAAATCGTATATGGGGCAAACACATAGGATGAAACAAGCTGACTGCCAAACAATATCTTCTAAGGATGCTATGTGGGTATGAATTTAGCAAGGATGTGCCCATGGTCCAACTCACTGCAGTGGACCAACTTGGATGGACAGATGCAACAAAGGCGCTCAGTCGCCTACTATGTGCGCACACCAAATGTGCACAAGCTGTAGGAGCTCGAATCGATGCGAGTTGGCAGTGCTACATATCGAAATGGCTACCTTCCTACACTTTACCTGGCCCACATTGCCTTGGCCCCCGTTGAAAACCATGGAGCCCTTGCCACCCGTCCCAACCTTGGGACGAGAGCCATTTCCATTGCTCAGTACCAAATCATCGCCCCAGAGTTCTTCGAATGAGACAGACTCTATGGTGGTCTCAGTCTTGTCGAGTGGCGTTGACTCCAGCAACTGGACGATTTCAGCACCTGAGACCCTCTCATTGTCTCGCGTGCACAAGATCTCAGCAATCTCCTTGATGACCGGGCGCCGCTGCTCAATCAATCGCTTTGCCCTGTAGAAGAATTGACATTACAGGCAATTCCATTAGCGATCAAAAAGGAATCGTCAGCAGGTTCAAGTACTGTATGCATGTGCATAACAATGCACTTCAGCAATCTCTCTACCTACTAAGGTTCAACATGCATACTGCAGTGATAAAGCAAGGATGCACTTTGAGAACAGACGAGTTCACAGCAGGTAGTGGGCAGCACAATTATGGGAAATGCCAAATAAGAATACATATCAATATACTTTCAGCTGCCGCAAGACACTGCAGTCTTCAAACAAACCCCTCTGCCAGACTTAACAGTTGCCCAATGCACTCATTAAGGAGAGTGAAAATAACAATGAGTCTTGTGAATGCCAACAGGTCCAAGAGGCAATCATTTGCCACAATGCAGGCATGGCAGCACACATCCTGCAGAACATATATTCCAAAACGCTGAACAATGCCAGCAGGCAGCCCGGGAAAGGATCACAGGCTCACAGCACTGGTCACAGATTGCCAAGCAGCCCACTTCTTCCCAGAAGGAAAATGCCAACCAGAAAGCAGATAAACGCCAACCAGGAACACAACATGCAAATAACAAAGATGTTCTGCCCCAATTGCCCTTCTACTCTGCACAGCATTGTTCTCAATCACATCAGGCCTGTGACATGAAGGTCGACGTGATATGATGACATGCTGTTGTGATACATGCTGCTGCAGCTGAACAGTGACAAAGTTTGCATCAGTTACACGGATGCCTCCATATATGTTTGCAGCTTTCATGTATGCCCCTTGTGTGCAGGATTCACTTCTACGATCAGTGGCTCCTAGAGTGCTGCAAAGCATGCGAGGGGCCAAAGTACTCTTGCTAATAGTCTGTACTAACGTAGTTGCATGTGTTTTTGAGTTGCAAGACATTTAATGCACAGGCGTAACTTAACGTCGCACCACAGATGCAAAGGCAGTGATTTGCAGCAATCACCCAATCAAGCACACATTCTAACCCACCTGGAGTATGCCACGTTGAGCATTTGTGTTGTGTGTCTCTCAAACCATGGGGCGGTGTTCTGCAGCGTTGGATCTGGGCGGCCGCCCATGCGCATGTCCAGCTTCACAGCCAAGTGACGGAAAGCAGGATGGAGGTTGGATTTGGCGACCAGGTAGTGGGCCAGGTCACCTGCCCGGGATATTTCCTTGGCTGTACTCAAGGTCATGCTGCTGTGCCCAAAGATTACTTCTTCTGTGGCGCGACCAGCGTAAAAGGGACAAAGGAGTCCAGCACAGAACTCAAAAGTCCCTGCTGGCTCCTCTACCTCAACAGCATTCACCTGACAAACAAAAGCACACACAACTCCCCATGAGACATACAGTGGTGGGTTACCACAGATAAGCTGAATCTGACAATGATGACAGGTAGCACACATACAGCTTGTGAAACTGCCACTTTTTCTGCCAAGAATAATACTCTAGGCCTTCAGTTATGGGAAGGGCATGATGCACATCGGACTGCAGAACAAAATGCAAACCATCCCATGCACCAGCAAATGTTTCTGTCTTTGCATGCATAGCAAACGCAGTCAACTGGCCATACATGTCGACCCATCAGCACAAACACACAGTGCGGAACAATTAGCTTGTGCTTTTAGGCATCTTGATGGCAAGGCAAAATTCAGTGAAGGACTAATAAATTAGTTTCACTTTCCACCTTTCAGTTCGTTTGGTGCACTGCATGCAAAGTGCTGGCATTATTTCTGGAACTGATATCTTGACTCCCATTTGTTGTGGCTGCACTGCACACACAACTACCTTTGGTCCAGGGAATGCCAGCCCATGCCACATGTCTCCCTCCATGCCATACTCGCGACGCTGAAAGAGAATTCTGCCAATTACACTTCCTTGAGGAAGAATGGAGACAGACTCAATCAGCGGGACACCCGGCGTCAGGGCCAACGCCACCGCACGTCCTTCAGGCACAAGGAAGCAGAAGTCACATAGGTGTCTTCAAGTCGCCTAGACTGGGACATTTCAAATGCTGCATGTGGTGGTCTCACAGCTAACTGAGTTGTCTTCACAAAGTGTACCCTCAGTGAATATAAACATGCAAGGGGCTGAACCTGTTGGTCAAGACTATGCAGAACAGACCAAGGAATTCCTGAAACAGGCAAGTGTGCAGGGATACACCCTAACAGAAAGGAAGAGGCCATGTCTGTTGGCATCAAGCAGTGCAGATGGCAGTGGGAGCACTAGGGGAGAGTATCACAAGCCCACCAGCGAGCACAGTAGCCAAAAATTTCTTTGCTGAGGACGATGGCAGCTTCTCTTGTGGCAGACCCAGGCGTGCTTTCTCCATGGAATCTTTCACATGCTTCATTGTTATGACAGGTGGTCCAAGGCTCTCTACGTTTGCCTCACGAACCTGTCGAGTGATCGGTCAACACAGCATAGGTCAGAGTCCAAGGGATAGAGCAAACCAACTAACAAGAAAACTTCAGCATTTGATCTCATTAGTGGTGCACGGCCCACATCTCTGTTGTTAGGACAGGGTTTCCCTGGAACTTCAAATGCATTGTAGTGTTTGGCAGTACAGGAGCCCAGCAATTGAAGTCCACAAAATGCCACTTGAGACGGTGTACAGCAATAAATAATTGTGTTGTCATGCTTAAGCAATTTCAACTGGAGACTGGGAGGTCAAACTTTCATTGTTTGTGGATTATCCCTGTACCCATTAGCTGAAAGTGCATGTTCACAATGTCACAAGGCCCTGCTCCTGCTGCTTGCATGGCACCAAACACCTCTCATATCAATATTCCGCCAGTCCCAGAGCTGCCTGAGGTTTCAAGCCAAAGAAACACCAAATTCCAAATAGAATTAGGGCTTGTATCCTTCAGCAGCCCTGGGGGCCAGGGCATGAGTGCCAAGTGAGGTAATTTCACTGCATTGTTGACAACTGGCAAATTTTTCTGTTGTGTTGATCCTCACAGCGATTGCATGCTGATCTTGTTCCAACAGCAACTGTTAAGTGGTGGATTTATGCCCATGTTGCAACACAGGGAATGTGTCCTGTCGACAAGCAATCACCACTAAGGAAAAATCAGGTAAGGTGGAAGTGCACGCCACCACAGGCGGCCATAATGCTTATGGCCATCAACCGCTCACCGACAATATCGCAGCTTCATTGAGCAGATTCGCCAATTCAGCCCCTGAATATCCAAGTGTCAATGAGGCCGTCTCCCTCAGAATTGCATCAGTTTCGTACTCTTCGTTGCCCATCCTGGACAGTGGCTTGTCCTTCGTGTGCACCTGCAATATCTTCAGTCGATTCGATTCTGACGGCCGACCCATGTAGATGATGCGGTCGAACCTGCCAGGCCTGAGTAATGCTTGATCTAACAAGTTGATGCGATTTGTGGCCCCGATTACTAGCACCTGTGAACCACCACAGCAAATAATAAGGCCAGCTGTACAGGGCAACGATGGGCACACGCCACTGGAGCAGTTACCAGGACAGCGCTGCAAGTGCTATCTTCATCATGTGTTCTTGTCAATGCAATCAACCGTATTCATAAATTACCCCAGCTAGAGACTTCCCAGCAAGCTTTCATTGTGGTGCGAAGTGAAGGACTGTGTACTTGGGCATGCACACCACAGTTCCAGCTGCCACATTGCTACACTGGACTGGATGCGAGACAGCTTTGATGCCCTAGTTCCCCTGTTGCACTTGTTCAGTGTTTCTCTGGCACTAAAACAGAATACCAATCACCTTGTCTCTTGGTCGAATACCATCCATCTCCACCAGCAACTGCATCAGCCCCTGTTCCCTTTCTTGTGATCCAGAATCGCCACCACTGCCTCTTGCTTTACCGATGGCATCTATTTCATCTGCACAGGAATAACATGAACAGTATTGCATACACCGTGTTCCAGTATTCCACATTTTGCCACCACAAAAGAGTCCCCAGCTGCCTGTAGCCAGGTAGAATGCCCACAACGATGAGGAACCCTTCGTGAAGAACCGTTGGTGCCATAGTCAAAAACTTATTCATGCCCAACACATTCATACACAGGCTATGCCAAAACCATGTGTGTATTCCTTGATGCCACAGCAACACTGTACACTGCAATTTTGACATTTCCCAGCATTGCTGCACATCATTTCCGCCCATCACAGGCCTTCTTGAACCAGGCGTCATATCACACCACCAGATGTTGTAATTCACATATCAGGGATCACGTACTGTGGAAAATCACCTCCGTTCAGGTGTGCTTGTGAGGAAGCAAAACCAGAGCACATCAAATAACAGCATGCCACTTACCAATGAATATTATGCTTGGAGCCTTCTTTCTGGCCATCTTGAACAAGTTGCGTATTCTGGAAGCTGCAACACCAGAGAACATCTCCACAAACTCAGCCCCATTGGCGCTGTAGAATGGCATGCCTCCCTCACCAGCCATCGCCTTGGCAAGGTACGTCTTGCCTGTGCCAGGAGGGCCTTCCAGCAATATGCCCTGCAAGTAACCCACATATATCCCCTGAGTACAACCAGCATGTATCCCAAAGCTGCACAAGCATGGAACGTTGGGAGCTTCCTCAGGCAGACCACCACTGTGTAGCTGATATGTTCCCTGGCCCACCTGCAAAACACTGATAGTGTGGGGCATCGATTTGCAGGGTGCGTTCTAAAGCATGTGTAAAGCACATGAATATGGTATGAAACACAAGAATACAACCTGTAAAATACTGCGTGAAGAAACGATGGACTCACCCGTGGGGCTCGCGCTCCAATTCTCTCATAGTTCTCATCGCCCCGCAACATTTTCAAGACTTCGGTGACGTCATACTTCACCCGGTCAATCCCAGCAACGTCCTCAAACCGGACCCCAGTATCGTTCCTGTTCCCCTCCTCATCTTCCACATTGAACTCAAGAGCCCTGGGACGCGCATACTGCTCTGCAAGTTCAGCCATGGCGTCCTTTTTTGGTTTGCCAAACTTGCTAATGAGCTGCACATTCAAAAAAATCGAGTAAGGGAAAACAATGGAACAGGAAGGAAAGAGAATCTAGCCCTACATCGCATTTCTTGCCAATGGGCCAGGACTTTTGAATTGCATCGAAACACATGTTATTCGCGCAAGGGCTTTAATAAAAATGGGTGCACAGGTTAAACCTAGTCAAAATTGAGGTTCAACCCAGTGTACGCCCAGCTGAGACACAACTTAGTCCAAATCAGTTCAAGCTGTTTGAAAATTAGGTTCAACCCTATCAACAAGACAACCCTAAACACTAAAACACCAGCCTGAAACACCCAACAAACTATAAAGACAAAGCTCAAACAACCTTTATGAACTTCATCCCCAGATATAAAGGGTAACAGACACTTGTGCTATATATGGTTAGACCAGACTGAACCTCAATTTGGACTATGTTTTCCTTCGATTTGGTTTATGTCGAACCTCGACAAGGCTGGTCTGGGTTGAACTCCAAATTGGACTAGACTGAGCCTCAATATGGGCTAGGCGAAACCTCCGCTGGGCATGGACCAAGTTGAACCATAATTTAGGCCAGGTCGAACCTATTCTCCAATAAAAATAGAATGACGAGTTGCCAGTGCATGACAATGATCTATTGCTGTTGAGCACAGAAGATCAGTTGAACGCTGCTATCCTTTCTGCTTTGCCTCCTCCCACTGCTGCATTGTCCTTCGTACTGTGACAAAGAAGGTACAGATCCATTGATCAAAAGGGCTGGCCACAGTATGAGGTGTTCGTAGAAAAGACAACTTCCACTGCTTCAAATGGTAAACAAACGAACGATCAGCTGCACAGAGATCATTGCACTGCAGTGTTGGCTTGATGAAAGCGCACCCACCCAATCTCCAACTCCAACAATCCCTCGCAAGGCAATCAGACCCATTATGGGCAGAATCTGCCCAACATACTGGTTCAAAAACACATACCTGTAAGTAGCACACACAAAAGCACAATTCAGAAAGGCCAACACAGGAATTGGGAGGCCACAACTGTACTACATTGCATGAGTATGCATCACACAATTTCCATGGTAACAAAAGGAGCCCGTGATCCTGTTATAGCCAGCGTTCACTGCCTGTTGACTGGCATAACATCTCCTCGAGACGACAGGCTAAAACGATGGTGCATGGCTGCTGCATGTCTCCTCTGCTTACGAGTTGTTGGGGTCCAGCACTGTCAGCTCGCACGTCACTTGGTGTTCTTTCAGCATCCACTCGTATTTGACCCTATTGTCAGCACTGTGGTGGTACTGATTTTTCTTGATGAGCTCCAGAAATGTGCCATCCTCCCATATGTCGCCAGGGAGCTCTACATAGTACCTCATCTTCTCCATCTGCCACTCGGGCTTTTGCTCTACATAAACAACACTGAGCAGCAAAGAAAGAGAAGGTCGTTCAGGCACCTCTGAGTGGCATCAAAAACATAAGAAATGGGTCTCATGCGCTATTCAGGGGATCCTCAACAGACCGACCACCAGGAATAGAGAATAGTCATTGCAAGCATCCCATGCCAAATTGAAGAATGTGCACTTTTGATTGAAAGTACCAAGGTCTGGAAGCAGCATAAAGGCAACGGTCAATTCGGGCACAACAATGTGACTGTGTGACAACAATTTTGTTGTTTTAAATTCATTTATTCCAGTTGTGGCAACAAAACTGTTGTTGTAAGCTGCGCTCAGTACCACAACAACATCACATAACAACACATCATGGACTGCCTGGTTTATTCAAGAACAGATATCATCTACAGATCCACAACATCAGGTCCATTACATCATATTGTTTTGTAGAGGGGACTGCTTTCTTATGGCCAATTGTCCACTACCCCAGGTGTCCACAAGATTCGCAGAAGATGCAATTGACACACCAAAAAGTTGCTCCAGCAGTTGGGACAGGCACACCACAAACGTCTTCAGGGAACAAGTTTGAAGCAGTTAGTCCAACAGGTCCCGTTCAGCAACATGCTGCAGCGAGATAGAAGAACACGGGTCACAGCCGTGGTTGCTGCCAACCATGTCCATCTGGCTCACCAACACAAGCAAGGTTTATGAATCAGCTGTGTTGCAAGCAACAGACCTGAGGTCACGTCTGTCATAGCGAATATCACTCTTGTAGTTTGAAGCATGAGTCTCAAAAGGTACCTGGAGCAAATTAACAACAGATGCTGAGATGTTGTGTAGTTGACTGGGTAGAGGGCAGTTGGCCACTCAACTGCACTCACTCCACTGACAGGTCGCACTGCCAACACAGCCTCCAGCGGCCTTCCAAGTGAAGGCAGGTCAGTGGAAATACATGCCCATGACACAATTGCTGCTTTGGCCAAGCCCAACTGAGCTGCGAGTGCTTTACAAATCATGCTGCATCGCAAGTAGCATCAAATGAACAACATGTTGCATGCAAATTTCTTGCATCAACCAAAGCTACTCCTGCAGGTAGTGTGACATTAGCAATAAAGATCAACACTCACCTCAACAATGGCCACTTGTCCATCTGCCATAAGGAATATTCTCTTCACCCTCTTGTCCTTCAGAAGCTGTATCAAACGACCATATGACATGCGCATTGTTCCCACAATAGGGAGGTACTCTCCGCTGCCAAAATATACTCTGTCTGAAAGCTCTTTGACATTCTTCTTAATGTCTTTCAGTGAAAGTGCAGCCAAAGGGGCAGTCGACAGGGCCTGCACCTGCCAGAAAATAGCACACCACTCAACCCACACGGCACTACACATGTAACTGAGTTGATGAATGGCATCGGGCACGATTGCCGATTTATGCAGACACCAAAAACAGCATATGCAATGAGCCAGAGCTCGGTACCTACCAATTGGTCGGCTTCAGGGCTACCACTGCTGTCCATGCATGCACACACACTATCAGCAAACACCATCGATCATGCAGGGTAGGGACATCGCAAAGGCTCTTGTTTCAGGCCATAATTGCCTTCAATGTTTTGAATGATGATCAAATGGAAGACAAATGTGCAAGCACTGACTGGAAGACACACTGTTCAATGGACTGACTTGCCTTCGTTGGATTTTCGATCGCTGGGCTCTGTTGGTCCTCGACAAAGAGGTAATTGCAAGATTTCATCCAAGGGGTGCAAAGGGCCATGGCTCCCTGCACAAGAATTGTGGGCACGAGTGCGTGCTTTGGCACAATGTCCGGGGTTTGGACGCCAAACAACACTTAGGAAGGCACATGAGTACATGTTCCAGCCACCTCCCTACAAGTGCAGTGGATGGAGAAGGTGGGGACTACCGCTGTTTGGATATGTAAGACAGAGCTGCCACGACCAATGGCCGGCTTATGTTGTTGCTTGGTTGACCACACAATTGGCCGCTGACACAAAGCTGCCTCATTGCTCATTCCATGTATTCCCTTGTTCACTGCCAAGCTGGGTTTGTACAGGACCAGAGGACTGAGAACTGAGCTGGTAACGTCAGAACCCCCCAGGCAATAGGCCATTCAGTATCAGGCGTGTTCACATCCCAGCATGTAGCGGCTTGAAATCTTATGTGCGGATTACTGCACCAGGCACGATCAAGCAATGCAGAGCCAATCAACTGGAACATGAAGATCACAATCTCGTGTTCTGTGGACGGCACCTTTGCGACGTCGAAGGCTCCCCGCAGTCAGCACTTTCAACACCAACCGGCCGCAAGAACTCCTGTACAGGACACCCCTTCAGCATTCCCAAACATGCCTCGCACGGGGGCTAATGGCAACATCCCCAGCCCACACAACAACGTTCAATACCCACCTTTTGCACCAGCCCCCCTCCGCGGGTGCACGAGCTTGCGGCATCCGACAGCAGCAGCCCCTCAGAGTGTTCAGTCGATCGCGAATCTCACCTGATCGTCACGCGCCGCGGCAGGTCGCCTCCATTTGGCCCTCATCGACGGCGAGCGAAGCACTCTGCCCCCACGAAGACGACCATGGTTGACGAGCCCAGCATTAGAGAACTGCAGTCGGCACAGGCGAGCCCGGACGCCGGGGTGCAGCCGCTGGAACAGGCGCCCGGGCGGCACCCCGCGCCCGACGGCGAACGCCTCCCGCCGCGTTGTCATCGAGCCAGGGGAAAAGCGGCTGGGTGGGTGCCACATCCATCGACTACATCGCCTCTTGGCCAGTACCTAAAACCGCCACACAGCGTTTAGGTGAGGGAACAGCTTGACAATTAGTAATGCGATGAGCCCCCTTGGCGCCACGCTGCCTTTCTGGCCGCTTTCGGCGGCTTTTGTTATTGCACAGGTCTTCTGCCCCCGCTGTGGTATGAGTGTATCTTAACAAATGACCGTTTAACCGTAAATTGTCTTGCTCCGTATCCTCTCGTCCTACTACGGGGCTGCTACCTTCCTACGTCCGATTCCCATTCAGTCATCCGCACGCTTCCCGTTCGCTTCTGTCTCGAGTAGCGTCCACTCACGTCCTAACGGTTTGCCAAATGCCCCGATCCGGGGGCGGGCCTCATGGTCCGCCCCCGCCCGGAACGGAGAGGGGCATATGCCTCGTGTTTCGATCGTCAACGGCCCTCTGGCATTCCTTAACGGTTGCGATTCCTGCTTTGGCGCTATACTTGAGCGCCTAGCCACGCATACCCTGATTTGCCATTTTCCTCCCGAGGGAGGCGAGAGGGCCGTTTCCAGGCATACCCCCAAGGACTGTGGGTGGGTGGGTCGCAAAATTCTCCCCGCTTCCTGCTAGCGTGGCTCGCTCTCCCCGCCGCCGTGCTTACCATCCTTTGCGCTTGCTTCCGCAGCAGGCTAGCGGCGACGGTCGCGCTAGGTTATGGCCCGCAGCGCTTGACGCGAGGAGCGATAGCTTCGGTCTCCGTGCTGTGCACTTTAACCCATCAGACGCGGTCCTGGCGCGTCCGCGCTCATTAACCTCCGTTAATCATGTTAAGAATGCCGCTCAGTGTGAGTGTATCTTAACAAATGACCGTTTAACCGTAAATTGTCTTGCTCCGTATCCTCTCGTCCTACTACGGGGCTGCTACCTTCCTACGTCCGATTCCCATTCAGTCATCCGCACGCTTCCCGTTCGCTTCTGTCTCGAGTAGCGTCCACTCACGTCCTAACGGTTTGCCAAATGCCCCGATCCGGGGGCAAGCCTCATGGTCCGCCCCCGCCCGGAACGGAGAGGGGCATATGCCTCGTGTTTCGATCGTCAACGGCCCTCTGGCATTCCTTAACGGTTGCGATTCCTGCTTTTGCGCTATACTTGAGCGCCTAGCCACGCATACCCTGATTTGCCATTTTCCTCCCGAGGGAGGCGAGAGGGCCGTTTCCAGGCATACCCAACCGTTCGGCCCAATTGTGGGCTGCAAAGGCAAATGCCGTATGCGGACTGACTAAGAGTGGCCTACGGGTGTAGGAGGTGCAGGAGACTCGGGACGAAGTGCTCGGAGGGCCCGTCACGGCTGTCCGAGGGGAGGAATGGACGGTAATGGAGCTGAATAGGCAGTACCGAACAGCGCGAGAGGCGCATAGAGCGCGGGTGGAGCAAGTCGCGGAGAAGAGATTGCCTCAACGGAAACAATTGATCGAGCGAGAGTTCGTGAGTTGGTGGGCCCGGCGGCCGGCCGAGTGGCAAGTAGGCCCGCCCCAGCCGGAGGATGTCATCACCTTTCTGGAATGGTTCTCCCAGAGGCGGCAAGGGCGTGCACGAACCCACACCGAGAGTGGACAGAGGGTGTGGCATTTCAATACCATGGAAAAGGAAGTGAGCCACCTGAGTAGTTGGTTCCGCCGGAGCGGACGAGAGGGCGACTGGCGCAGCGAGGACGGGAACGGGAATCCGTGTAAGTCCGACTGTGTCCGAGCTTGGAAGAAAGCCTACCGGGCCGCGCAGCAGGTGCAAGGGGTAGGAGAAAGTAGTGCGGAGCCATTGCGTATAGAGTGGTATCGGCGGATGGTGAGAGCGTGCCAACAAGAGCTCACGAGGGAAGGCGACCCCGTGGTGAGGGGTCGTGTCATGCGTGACGCCGTGTTGCTGACCTTTTTGTGGGAAACCGGCCAGCGAGTGAAACCGCAATTGGGGCCGTACACGCGGGACATGATAGTGGATGAATGGGGCCGCCCGATATGGGCGGCGAGGACGGGGACGCGCCCTGTGGAAGGGGCAGTGTTATTAGACGTATGGTTGCTGAAGACCACGACCGAATTCCGGCCCGGACGGGTGGAGATAGACCGTCACCAGGAACTGGGGTTCCTGTACTGGTTCGACCGCATGGGAGACTGGCTCCGTCAGCATGGGCGCGGGGACGTGCAGGTACTGTTGCCCGCCTGGGATCAGCGACTCGGGCCCCAGAACCGGTCGGTAGAGGCGATGGAGGCTACCCGCATTATGCGGTATTGGGCCCAGCGGGTCGATGCGCCGGAAACGCTGACGTACTACAGCAGCAAACGAGGGAGCCTGCAGCATAGGCATCATGAGCTCGGGATGTCGATGGCCGACGTGGCCAGCCAGACACTGCTACGCTCAATAACCACCGTGGAGCGGTATGTGGACCGAGGGCGGCACTGGCATCGGCAGGTGCAGGCCGCACGCAGGGTGAAGGCCCGAACGCGTGAGCCAGAGCGGCCCGAAGGGATAGAGCGGAGCCATTGGCGGGTGTGGGGTGGACCGCCCCCCGAGCTCGAAGCCCGGCTGTCCGCTGGGGGAAGGCCGTGAGGCCTAGACAATTGTCCGAAATTTCGCAGAAAACCTTTAACAATCAGGTTGGGATACAAAGACGTGGACCCAGGGATACCAGCCGGAGGGCTTCGACGCCCCCGACGCCCCCGTACCCCAAACGAACCACGGGCTGATCGCCCGACCGTGCCAGGTGAGGGCGCGGGGCATCACCAAAGGGCCACGAAGGCCCGGGAGGGCCGCGATGAGCGGTTCCCACGCACGACAGGCGGCGGGCAGCACAACTATGGCGGGAGACCAATATTGCGTGAGGCGCTGAAGCGCCCGACCGGCCAAGCACGGCGGGGGGTTGACCCACGCGTAGCCGCGCGGCGGACGCCAATCGTGAGAGAAAGCGTCGACCCCCGCTGACCGACCATCAAAATAACGCGAAAAATAACGTTTGCAGACTGCCGTGGAGGCGGACGCAAACACGTCGAGGCAAATAGAGACGGGATCGAGAGCCAACTGGTGGCAGATCCATGCGACCGCCTCGGGCTTAAACCCCCAGTCATGGGGGTCGTCAGGCTTACTGAAGAAGTCCGCCTGAGCTTGCCAAGGGTCTTCCCTGTTCGACCAGACAAGCTCGAGCTCCACGTCGTGCTCCCAGGCTAACAGGTGGATCGCCCGCACGAGGGGAAGGCATTCATTGACGCCCCTCTGACGGTCGATGCAATACTTGCTCGCTTGACTGTCAGTGTGATATAAAAGGCGATGCGCCTTCACCATGCCAGGGGCACACACGATCAATGCGCGCAAAACCGAGTGTACGGCGAACAGCTCCCGAGCGGTGGAGCTAGCACCGATGAGATGCGAGGGGAGCTCCACCTGAAGGGGGTAAGGAATAGCCCCCCCAGGAAAAAACGCTCCAACATGGGTTTCCGAGGCGTCGCCAACTGCGACAGTCGTTTCGCGGGCGCTGGGCCAACTGCGACCCTCAACCCTGTGGAAGTTGTCCCGCCACCACTCAAGCTCATCCTGCACCTCCTGGGGAGTAGGGAAAAGGTCATCCCAAGACTCTGTCCCCACCAAGGCGGCGAATAGACGCCGAGTGAAAGCTGGGCACAGATTCACGGCCATGCTCATAGAGACGATGAGTCCCGCGATGTGAGCCAACTGACGGGAAGTAACACGATCACCGGCTAGCAGTTCACCCACAACCGAGAGAAAATAACTGCGCTTGTCAGTTGGAACATGGAAAGCACCCACTCCGGAGTCAACTTCCAAGCCGAGGAAGCGCTGCGTCTGCTTCGGCACCCAGTCGGCTTTCTTGGATGAAAAGAAAGTCCCCAGGGCTGTGCCGACAAGGGCCAAGATTAGACCGTTGAGCATACAGAGTTGCGGGCTGGCCGCCGCTCCATACCGGTCGTCTATGAGGAAGGCCATCAATGAACCGAAATGGCGCAGAGGCCGGTAAAATGCGGTCTAAATGTGAGTAAAGGCCGCGCACGCGGATGCCAACCCGAACGGGAGATGGGTCAAAAGCAAAGTGCGACCCTTCCAATGGACCGCGAGGAACGGCCAGTCGCAGCGGCGCATACGCAGGTGATGGTACCCGGATTTCAGGTCCGTCACTATGGCGTAGCACCCGCGATGAGCAAAGGCTAACACGTCGGAGAGCTGCTCATAGCGGACGGGTTCATACCTGACGAAGGAGTTCACATACCGCAGGTCAATCACCAGTCGCATCTTGGTGTGCTGAGTGACCACAGCAAGTGGGTTGACCACCTGGACCGAAGCATGGAGAGCGGGGTCGAACAATACCGCCATGCCCGTTTCGACAAGGCTGCGGATGGCGCTGTCAGTGAACTCCTCATGTGTCATGGCGGACGTCCTGTTGGGGAACACCACGAAACTAGGACGCGTACCCGTCAGGTGACCGAGGAGCTAGTCCTTGGGGAGCACGTTGGCGAGCATAGCGCGCACCTCCTGGCGCTTAGCCTTGAAGTGCGGATGCAACTGCTGGCAATGCGACTCGGGGTCGACCCAGTCGATCGCATAGCCATGGCGCAACCA